TCCCCGAATCCATGTGATCACAACCGAAATCCGAAGAAAAAAGAATAGAGAAAGAGGCCAATTGGATGACAAGCAAAGTGCCAGAAGTTCAGGATAGTGCGGGCGAGCAAGAGGGTGTAGCTTTAGTTTTTTTACGTCATTTGTTAAGGGGACAATGTTACTCTTTTTTACCTCTTCAATCCATAGTGAAGCAAAACCGTTACATTGCAGCTGTGGACCTCTTTCGACGCTCAATTGAAAATCTCTTGAGACTAGACTGATTTCTCGTCTAGTCAGTTGAATGAATTAAAGATCTTGAACATCAGTACTACTATTATTTCAGATCAAACCAACTACAGATAACGCCACCTTCAACGTGTTCGTACGATATGGCCAGCGACCAACTGTCAGAGAGCATGATGTGTCAGAGAAAATTCCGCAGTCCTCATGCTTGAAGACTTCTCAAGGTTCTTTCAGAAATTGCAGCAATAAAGCTTACGACATCCTTTTGTTACCTGAGAAGGTGAACAAACCAGGACAATACTATATTGGCATACAGTACGAGAAGGATGAAAGAGAACCCCAGAGTCGACGTAAGAAGCGTTCATGTTCTGGAAGAGGCCGCCAAAAGAGATCATGTGTGGAGGTTAAGGAACCACGGAGGCCCGAAAATATCACGGTGAAGCCTGTTTATGACCCAAAGACAGACGTCAATTATTCTATGAGTCTGCTGAATGAGACTTGTCTGTTTTGGAACAGTACAGAAGAACGCTGGTTATCAAGAGGATGCAAAGTAAGTTTGTCTACTGTTGCTAAAACCTAAGTACTGATAAGTCATCATTTTTTCAACCCCTGGTTGTGTTTTCATTTTACTGATATAGTCTTCGCGCCTTTTTCAAATTGCAACCTTATTACAATAAATAGTACCAGAATCTTGTAAGCCATGATGCCGACAGCTCTTGATTAAAAACCCTCTCCTTTAACACCTCCAAACTGACTAAACCTCAAAATATTGCCTCACAAGCTGAATAGTAGAAAGGTAAATGGGGCAGATGAAAAATTCTTTCGACGGATTTTAAAAGAAAAGTTTTAAATGCTTATTTTAACGACTACTTTTAGATCACCCTGAATGATACTTACCCCCTAACATCCGTACAAAAACCTAGAAGCTTCTTTGGGTAAATCGCTTCAAGACATTCCATACGAGGTCATTTTTTTGTTATCATTATAGTGCCAAATTTTCCCCCAAACGGTAGATGCTGATATAAAAACTCCTGTTCAAAAATATAAACTGGGAAAAACCTGGGCTAAAATATGTCATTTCAAATTGTTTTTGCCTCACAAATTCTTTAAGGCGGGATTTCGTTTTAATTGAAGAGCTCCACTTATCCCTGTCTTTTGGATATGAAAATAATCCTTTATCCCATATTCGTTAA